CACAAGCTAAGCTTTAGAAACAGACTTTAAAATTTTTGCAGATTTGGCAGATGTGGAATCTGCTGGCCAAAAAAAAAAAGTATTCCCATATATTATGCTAAAGGAAAGTAGCCAAATAATGCTTTTCTCTGACACACACAGTTGCTACTATCTTCTTAGTATACGTTTATGGACAAAAATGAACTTTTGAAATAAAAGTGGTAGGAAAATGCTTTGCTGGCAGCCCAGTGGAAGCATTGTCTCTGCATGCAGACATATACAAAAATAACCAGGGAAGGACTTTGAACCAAATCTTTCAAGGGCTAACTAAGGCTGCTGTAATGCTTTAAGGAAAGGTGCTTCACTTGTGCAATGGCAGATTACAAGATGGCCTTTTCAAATGCCTTGTACAGCCCTAGTAATGAATAGGAAAGACGAATAACTATTGTTATATGATGGCTTTCCCCAGATTGCTGAGAATTCTGGGATTTTTCATCCCAGCTCAGTTGAGGATGAGGTTGGGGAACTCTGTTATAGCATTGATTCTCAAAGGAGTTCAACAACTCAAGCAATGAAAATATGAAGGATTCCATAATGCTGCCTAAATTATAGTTCAAACAATAAACCTGGCTGTTAATATCAGTTGGTCTTATTTAAATTTCTTTGACTTAGTTGTCTTTTCTAAAATTGCAGTTCAGATAGCCATTGTGTTTGGAGGAAGTACTCTGGAGCATATCTTCAATTTGTGCCGAGGTAATTTTGACTTCCTGGTGCGACTGCCTGATACATTGCTTCTGTACATCATGTCTTATTTGGATCTTGAAGACATTGCAAGGCTTTCTCAAGTATCACACAGATTTGAAACGGTAAAAATGAACTTGAAATATGTTACCTTTTAGTTTTGTTTCTGCATAAATACTACATTTGTAAAGGTTTATGATGCCCTGATTTCTCTACTTAAGTACCTTTGAAGTCTTATGTTAACACTTCAAATTGCCAAGCTAATTGTGGAGTGCTGTCCTCTGTCTGTGTCTGTATATAATATCAATAATATTATTTGGGGTGGGGGGCAAGATCTAATATTTATATTATTCAGCAATGGATGGACCAGAATATGGGTAGCTGTACTGTTCAAAGTCCATCCAATAAACTGACTTCATGTTTGGTTAGTACTTTGATGAAAGACCAGCAAGAAATGCCAGGGCTGTAGGCTAGACTGGGAAGTTGAAAAGCATCCAGGAAGAGGAAGTGGCAAACCCCTTCTATAGGAAGTCACTAGTATTCAACTGTGATTCAAAGGAGACTATACTTTTTAAATTTGGATTGCATACCTCAGTGACTTCTTCCTCCCTATGTTATATACCTCCATCTGGGTTGACAAATTTAACTGCATCACACTGTCATGAGATACTACTATTAGTAATATATTGTACATCTGCATTTCATCTGGCCAGTTAACCAGGAATGTTTCGCATCCCTCACTATTCTCTTATAATAATAAAGTACATTGCAATTTTTATTGTCTCTAAATTTTAAAATTGTTAAACAAAATGCCAGTAGAGGGAGCTTAAACCTAATATAAAGTAGAAATATGGCATTGCATTCTTTAAAAGAATTTAATTTTGATTCTTTTTAGTAAGCATACTAAAATAATATTTTAGAATATTGACAAAGGTTCAAGAGAAAAAGTTAGTTTTACAAAGTAAACCCATATTAATCTATTAAGTAATAAGTACCATTGAATCTTAATAAGGTTTATCCCCAGGTGAAGGGGATAGTAAATTGATGGATGTTTTCTATTATTATTTCTTGTAGCATATATTATTTTAATTATACATGATACTTTTGAACGTCACTCAAGAATTTGATCACTTCTTGACTCTTGGCTAATTAAGTTTTAACCACTTATGATGGAAACTTGATTTAACTATATATACAAATGTTTTATTTCTAGTTCTGCACATTTGTTCTGATTATTTATTTTCATTCTTGCTTAATAACCATATTAACAATTTTCATCAAAATACAGTTCCATTATAACATTAATGCTGACTTGCATATACCATCTTATTTTACCTTCCTCATTTTGAAACATGGTGTTGATTGATACTGACAAAGTATCAGTCAGAAAGGCTAGTTTCCAATATGAGATCCAAGATTAAGTAACTTCTATCATTGGCTAAGGAAAACTGTTACTTCACATTGGGAATCTCTCTTTATTTCATGGTTATTTTAATCCTAGCCAACTTCTGAGCTTTGGTGTTGAACAACTTTTTAACTTCAGTCTCCTATCACCCATTCTTTTTTCCACTTTTCCTTCTCTGTGCAGATGCAGATTCTACCTTCAAGCTTCAGCATCTCATCCTATAATTATGCTGATCCATTCCTACTTGTCTTATACTTTACACCTTCTTGTATTTGTCTCCTCTCTCTCTCTCTCTCTCTCTCTCTCTCTCTCTCTCTCTCTCTTCATTAAATTAGTTTTCCTGCTTTGTCTCTAGAATCTGAATCCTTTTGCTAATGGCAGCTAGTAACTCTTATCGGCATAGCATCTTAGTCACTGTTTAGGCCCAAACTTAAATTCAGGTGTGAGGAATTTGTAACTGTTATTGAACCACATCCCCATCATTCCTGACCATTGCCCATATTAGATGACATAGGAATCTAGCAATATATGGAGGGCCACAGATTTCTGCTCTTGTCTAATTCCTGTTTTTCTCCGTGAGAATAGCCCAGCTCAGCTAGTTGCTAGTGATTTTATTATTTTTATTATTACCATAAAATCTTAAAATCAGGAGGAGTCTGGTAACACCTTTTCCAGCTAACAAATTTTATTAACACTTTTGTGAGCTGCAGCTTACTTCATCAGATTCCAGTTAGCTTCCAGGTACAATTTAAGGTGCTGGTTATTACCTATAAAGCCCTGCATGGCATGGGACTTAACTTTCTAAAGGACAACCTATCTCCCATAAGATCTTCTCATCCTGTGTGTTCTGACAAAGTTGGCTTGCTTTGGGTCCCCTTAGTTAAGCAATGTTACTTTGTGGAACCCAGAAGGTGGACCTTCTTTGTCACAGGAACCATATCCCCTTAAAGATCCACATGGCTCCCACTTTGCCTGTCTTTATGTACTCTTTATAAACTTGGCTTTTCCCACAGGGTTAGATGGATTGTGCAGGCTCCATGAATTATGAAGAATATGAATGGAGGGGTTTTTTTGCTCCCTGAATGGTCACTACTTTTATTGATGTGGATGTTTTGTATTGTGTTATTGTTTTCATTTTGTAAAGCCACCCAGAATCATCTGGAATGAGACAGCCTACAAATTCAATAAATAAATATCAAAAATCAATTTATAGCAATGGAAGATGTCTCTGTAATCATATTTCAGTCTTTTAGTTCATAGCATGTTATGTGAACCTGGAACAACTACCATGTCCAATTTCCAGGAACCTGAGTTTGAAACCAGCTATTAACTCTGGTTTCAGATATTAGTTTCTGCTCAGTGGAAATGGCAGTTCCAGGTTTGCACAATATAAACCTTAGGTAATTCAGGACTTTGATTAAAGGCCACCATGAATGGGAGGTAAGATAATAGTGTGCAAAGTGGCTTAGTATGTCATGCAATCTGGTCTGTTTTAAAACCAGATGTATTAAGTTCTCCCTGAAGCATATTTTATCATTTCCTGTCATTTCTTGCATAATATTGTATAGATTTGGGACTCACTGTTTTCCCAAATTAAGGTGTTTCCTTCTTAAATAGTAATTGGGGTGAGATAGCCTTGTCCGTTGCACATATGAAGATTTTCTCCTGGTTCTAACTCTTTCCTTCTGAGCTGATGAAATTAACAAGGCACAAGGAAATTCTGGAACATTTCATCAGAAGTAGGGAAAAGATACCCATCCCTCTGTTTTTTGTGTCTTCATTGCATGACCAGCTGCAAAGAGATGGATATTTGTTTGATATAAAGTCATATGTTATTTTTTTAAAAAATAAGCTGACATGGCATGCTTTCTCTAAGCCTTGTCAGTCTTATTTGAGAGAAAAAAGGAAATGGTGATAGCAGAGCTTCATTATGGACCATTATCTAATATAAGCAGAATGAAACCTCTTCTCCCATGTTAAGTAAGGTAGATGTAATGCCTTGATTGGAGAAAGCATATTTATTTCACTTTTTAAAATATTAATTAAAGATATTAAGGAGTATATAAAAATATGAAAAAACTGAAGCAGGCACAGTTTCACTACAGTAATAAAATGGAAATAAAAGACGATTCCTAAGTCGTGTTTGAATTGCTTTTAAAATGCAGATTTGATAGTAGGTACTATAAATTATGGCTATGAACATTATTATGCAATTGTCTCATTCATTTTTTGGAAAAAACTGTTGCAAATACTGGAACTCAAACAGCCCAGTGAAATCCAATCCCAGTATCCATTTGCTTCTAATAGAATAGACTTATTTTTATCTGCTCAGTGTTTAAATTGTGAATGCTTTTTATTTCTTTTACAAATAGTTGTGCAACTCTGACAAACTATGGGAAATGATCGTGCAAGATTTATTGGGCATAGTTACTCCAGAAATGAAGTCACTGGCACAAGAAATTGGGTGGAAGCAGTTCTTCTTCACTAACAAGCTTCAACTGCAATTACAACTCCGAAGAAGGAGAAATAAATCAGCGGGTTCATCAGGAAGTCTGTCTGATTAGATGAGTGTTTTTCCAAACTGATAGAACATTTTGAAAAATATAGGGTTTTTTGTAAGCTGAATGTCTTGTTTAGTTTTTTAGGGAAAAAAATCTGTTTGCAAGATTTGAATAAATATAGAGGTCACCTTAAAATAAGCTATTAGAGATGTCTGAGAAAATCTTTGTTATATTATTCCATATATTTTCATTTAATAACATTTCATTTAAATTTCATTTTATTCTTCATTTGTTTTCAGTAAATTTGTTTAAATTATACACATTTTATTGTCTTTTGATGTCTTTCTTAGGACCTTATTTCGATGGCCAGCAGGTGGCAGCCACCTTTTATTTTCCGTCACTGGGTTATCAGCAGTGGCTACAAATATGTATGTACTGTACCGTATGCATTCATAGAGAAACCTACTAGCTGTTGCTGTTCTTTTCCTACAATGGCCTGAAATGACACAATATCCATAGCATTCTAAGAAAATAAAATGAGAACTTCCAGGAAACGGCAGCTGTAATCAGCTGCTAATATCAAGGAAAGTCAAGCATCCCCCACCTTCCAAATTAGTGTCATATAGTAAGAATGGAATAATAAAAACTCATTTGGTTCTTGGTTTCATTTGCTATAAATCTATTATGTACCTTTCTTTTACATTCCTAACATTTCTGTCCCACAATTTGACAGAGCAGTATTTCTTTCTCATACTTTAGTTCTCAGGCCACCTTAACATCAGAAGATCTATCCCTAAAAAAAAAGAATTAGACGGAGGAGTCTTATATCCTATGCCTGTGAAACAATTTCTCCTTATGAGTATTTTTACCAAATCTAAGTAGCAGTGAATTTACCAAGAAATGTATTCACCAAGCAAGAGTATTAACTTCCTGACATATGACATAGTCATACTATGAGTTACAAATTGCCAGGGTTATAAATCTCATGTTCGTTCATAAATGTATAAAAAATGTGTAACACCATTCTGTAGTGTTAAAATGCTGATTCACCCTGAGTGGCTCATAAATAAGAATATTCTATAATGATTTTGTTTGATATTCACATAAAATGGACAAGAGAACCAGATCAACCAGAGAAAATATAATTTTATCAGAAGGAACATTATCAGCAAAATAATCTTTTCTTCTTGAGAATACTGCCATATCACAGATACTACTATTCTATGGTACTCTATGGTACTATTCTACCATAGATTGAATGATAAGGTAGTATTCTTCATAAGGGGCCTATTTGCACTATAATGGATCTTTTTGTTACCTAATTTTCTAGAAAATGTTTATAAAGAGAGGACCACTATCCTTTTAATAGGAAAATATTGATTCTACTTTTTTAAAATAAAAATACAGCTAGATGATCTGGAACAATGCAAGTATGACCATTTTCTACTTTAACTTAGCAGTATATACTTCAAAGCACATTATGCCTAATGTTTTCCTGTTGATGTAGGTTGCTTGGTGTTATAATTTTAAACTAATTATACTTTTAAGACTAGGATAATCTATAACAGAAACAAATGTTTGGGGGTTTCTTTCAGTGTCCTTTTATTTGTTCTTTATCCTATTAATTACATGTGCCAGTCTTTTATTCAGTATATTTGCTGTTGATATATCTGTCCTTTAATAAAATATCCCATTTGGAAGTTAAGCCTTTTCTAAGTATTTGACTTTATATTTGGTAGAAGAATAATTTACCTTTTCAATATAAATATCTAGTTATACTTAAAATCCTCATGCACAAAATTGAATGACACTGTGTAATATAGTTTAATTTTCAGTTTTATTATATAAAAACTTGTGCAGTGTATAATCATTTTTCTTGAATGAAAATAAAATTCTTTTTTATAGATTGATTTGTAAATAATTTATTTACAAAGGGTTTTGTTTCTTCTAGTACTATTCTGAAGCTACTAAAACATGTAAGCCATTGTTGTTGTTCAGTCGTTAAGTCGTGTCCGACTCTTCGTGACCCCATGAACCATATCGCGCCAGGACTTCCTGTCCTT